CCTCCTTACACTCCCGCTGCCGCTGCCTCCTTACATTCCCGCTCCCGTTGCCGCTGCCCCCTTACATTCCCGCTGCCTCCTTACACTCCCACTCCCGCTGCTGCTGCCTCCTTACACTCCCGCTACCTCTGCCTCCTTACACTCCCGCTGTCGCTGCCTCCTTACACTCCGCTCCTGCTGCCGCTTCCTCTTTTCTCAGTCAGCACCCTCTTACACTTCCTTCTTCTCATTCTGTTAACAGTATACAGTATACTGTATATTGTTAATATTGTTAGGTTTATTTGAAATTATTAATTTTCAATACTGTTAATAGATTAATAATATATTATTTTGATTTTAATACTGTTAATTTTTATTTATTTGAAATTATTGTTGGGTTTCAAGATAAATGACAAGTGTACAGAGTAACTCAATAGAGTCTCCAATGACATCAAAAAAAGATCCTGCATGGAAGTATAATTATTTGAAGGATCCGAAAGATCCTAATGTAGTGACTTGCATATTCCGCGATAAGACTACTAGAGGTGGTATTTTGAAAATGATTTGTATGAAAATGATAATAATATTGATTATGATGAATGACTTTGATGTAAAATTTTATTGTTTTGAATTTTGAAACTTTTTGTTAATGTGACATTGTGATTTTGTATCTTAGATTTTCTTAATTTAATAGCATATTTTTATTTAAATTTTTAAATAATTATATTATATATTTTTATATTTTAGCGTCTCGCTTCACTTGGGCGAGCGCCTAGCGCCTCGGGCGTTTTTGGACTTTGGCGCCTTTTGGCACCTAGCGCTTTTTAAATCACTGATTATTAATTATGTAGATTTAAAATATATTAAGAAAGAAGACTTAGCAATATCTAAAATAAGGGTGATGCAGGAATGTAAGTTTTAAAGGGACTTCCACAATCTGAGGAGCAAGTTCAATATAGTAAACAGACTTGTAAAAATATTTTCATCAAAATAGAGCATACACATTTCTTACCCCCTGATATACAACGGGTAGCAGTGAATTTTTTTTTCTTGATAATAGAGGAATAGAAAGAGAAAGAAAAATAATAACCGAATGATAATAAAAAAAATAAAGGATAGTTACTAGATTTGCTCTGGCTCAAGGAGCGAACTCTCAGGATGAAGGCATCGCACCTCTACATATCTCGTACGTGGATGATCGAATCATTCCATTGGAAAAATAAATGTAACATTATACCACTTACACATAAAGTGGGAAGAACTCAATTTACTAATCCATTTCTCATCGATCTATAATAATGTTTTGGCCCCTTTTTATAGGCATAAATACGAAAGAAAGATAAGTACAGAAACAAGAAAAATTACAATCCTATCAAATCAAATATATGATGTGTTCCATTTGAAGAAGATAATAACCTTGACTTGATTTGAAAAATAATCTTCCGTTCTTGATTCATCTTTGTAGAGATGAATCTTCAAGCAAGATTTGTAATCTCCAATAAAAAAAAAATGATTTGGTTCATTTTTCTACATTTGCTTTCTCTTTCTCTTTGTTGAGTAAATGTTAACATATGACAACTTATTACATATGCAAAAGATCCCTAAATTAATCAAATTTATTTAAATAAAAGATAAGTTAAATTGCTCCTGCATCACCCCCACATGAAGCTAGTACTTATAAGTTCTGTGTTAATGCATATAGCATATGAATATTTCAATATTTACACTTACTATTGGTATTGTCCACATTAAGATTTACAACTTGGTATGTAATGGCTTTGTATCATTATCAACTTTGTCTTCCCGCTTACAATTTGAATTGTTAACTAGTCTCTATTAGGTAATCCAATGGATTTGAAACTTAACTCAGATAGGGACATGATTTCAGTGCACAATTTGCTAGTGTCAAGAATTACTAATTATTCAATAATCATCTGAATCAAACTTCAAGAAGTAGTGAATTTGAACGTTTTCAAAAAAGTTGAATGCAAAAAACTAAAACCATTCAACTAACAGAACACCCATTTGAATACTCTATAGACATGTCTACTTGATGGAGTATAACTGATCAGTTCTAAGCTCACTTTTGTGTTAACCGAAAGATCAGTTCTAAAACCATTCAACTAACAGAACACCCACTTGAATACTCTATAGACATGCCTACTAGATGGAGTATAACTGATCAGTTCTAAGCTCACCTTTGTGTTAGTCGAAAGAACATCATGAAGCAAGAAATCCAATTTATATAGCATAAAAAAGCATCAACATTTGGTGCTACCATCATAATTAACAGTCAGAAGAGTTTAAAAGCAAAAAAAAAAAACTACTATTACCTGTAAAGTTAACCCATAGCCACCATGTGCTTCCTTTTCAAAGTAAAGTAGCTGTGACAAGGACTCAGTGTCAGATGATGTTGGCTCAGTGAACAGATTGATAATGGAAAGAGAATATTATATCATAACTGAAGATAAACAATAGAATATTTAGATATCTTTGGATAACAAACTGAAACCTCAAGTTGTTTGGAAAAGTTTCTCTATTTTATACACCTTAAATTTGCTTCGCACAGCAGAGGTCACTCTAATGACAATCCCTGCTTGAGCTTGTTGATCACTAATCGTTACACCAAAAAAATGAGCACAATGCTTATCGACCTGCATCGATGTGGAAAAGGATAAGAAAAATATATATGTTAACATAACTTCCTAACGATAGAAAGGTCAGTAAATAAATACTTTGCCACTGAATGAGGTTCCAAGAGGAAGTGGTTCTACTGTAACATTTCCATAAAGAGCTTCTTCAAGAACAATAGCAGAAACCATAGTCTTGATAGGAACTCCCAGCTTGCTATAGGCAAAAGAATTATTACAGGCTCAGAAGAAAAAATAGCACAGAAACCAAGTCATATAACTTTGCTCTACTGTCACCTGAAAAGAGCTGCAAACATTGTATTGAAAGTTCCAAGGCTAGACAAGTCGATCTCCATATCCATGCCCTGACTTTCTAAAGCCTTTAAAGCCAAGCCAGAAGAAACAACAGACACATTACAACAAATTGCCCTTATGAAAACAAATCAACAAGACAGTAATTGGATTTTATGAGAGTGAAAAACATGTGTATTCTTATAAAAGGTTTCCTGGCAAAAGAAACACTAAAAGTTATAGCTTTGGTAGAGGTACAGAAATTTATAGAAGTCATTATGGAAAGAGAAAAAGAAACACCAAACCATCTAAAGCTAATTGCAGATACCAAAACCTAGCATATCTAGCAGATGTCAAGATTTGGTGATTGTGAAATTATCATTTCCACATTTATTCTGCTCAATTGTTAAGTCTCTTGATATTAAACCAAACTGATACTATTGTACCCAGAGTAGTTTCTTGTTTCATAGATCTTCCAAATCCATTTTGTGAGTTTCCATATCTTCATCATAAGGTCAAAACATCATTTTGTTTGTTATCTTCTTGACTTTTGTCCAAATCACACAACTAGTCCTGAAAAGTCAGGTTAAGCCAAAATATAGTCAGGCTAGACTGACCATTCCAATAGTCTTAACATCAAGAATCGACAACATTATATGTCAAAGGGATAACCAATCAGGAAAATGTATAAAAAAGGTGAGAGATTACAGCATGTCGAAAAAGAATTACAGAGACTAATTTGGACTAGCACAATGATTATGGTTATAATGCTTAACCCATAATCCATACTCAACACGGGCCTGCTATCCTGCAAGGGGATGGAGGACCCATGCATTCCAAATCTACTGCCACAATACTGTCATCTAATTCAAAGATTATAAATCAATGATGAATAGTGATCACCAGATGGCGATTCATCTTGACCTAGCTAACGAACTGATACCAGATGGGCCTACAGATAAATTTTATTGCACCATTTGCTTTCAACGAAAAAATAGCATAACATTCTAATATTTTCTTTCCTTAATTTTATCAAAGCACCATAACAAAACATCATTCTTTTTTATTGTATTGAATTTAACTGTTGAGAAGCACCCACCTCAAAACCAGCAGCATCATATTGCCTTCTTTTCTCAGGATCTGACAAGATGCTATAGGCATAGGCAACTTCTTGGAAAAGTTCAGAAGCTTCCGGGTTGTTAGCATTCTTATCAGGGTGATACCTATTCGTGTCAAAATTAAAAATCAATTTCCCATGTGAATGCAAGAAAGAGGAAGGGAACTATCTGACTATTAATAAATAAAGCAGCTGCTATTCACTGATCACGTAACATGTGCAAGAAAATTTTTAAAGGAGAAAAAGAAAAGAAAGATAATAGTTTTAAGCAGAGAATAATCGGTATCATAACACGATGTATACAAAGATAAATAGATTAAAGTTTAATGCTGAAGAAACAACAAGCCTGTTACGACAAAAATGAAAGAGAACAAATTGTTTGATAATGATCTCAAGAGAAAAATGAACCAAAACCAAAAAGCCTCAAAACTTTGGGTCTTCACTAGATATTCTTCATAGCAATTTGTTATTTCTAAAGAAACACATTTTGTTCGAAGGTAACAATCCATTAAGTTCATCCGGCAACTTATCAGGTTATATTTCTCTCTTATGAACACTCAACTGACTAAAGCCATTTTGTTGACAATGATCTAGTTCATGCTGCATATGACTACAGCAGCTGAAAATTTTGAACGATGCACAAGATATTCAAATTATCAAACCATGGGATCACCCTCCTAAAAATTTCTCTTAATTAAGATATGCAACATTCTCACAAATATCAGATGTGAGTTACATAAAACCCCTCTCTGCCCTTTCGCTCTGTTATATTTTAGCGATAAGAATCAATGCTAGCTTGAAAGTACCAAGGCAAACATTATGCCAAAAATCTGCTACATAAATGATTTGAAAGCATCTCAACTCAACTAGTAGAATTTTGTTTCTACTTGTAGAAATCCGACCACCGAAGAATCACTAAACTATTCTTTATATGACTTCACAGTAAAGAGGCCATGTGGTAGGTAGATTCAAATTAATTCTATTTTCTTTTATCTATGCAAGGGCTGCAATCATAGGCATAAATAGTTTTGATAATTTTTTTCGTTTTCATGAGCATAGTGGCGCGTTGTGTGTCAATACATGCTTCAAATTGTGCAGGTAAAAGAGGTCCATCTCTTTTGCAACAATTTTATACAATAGAAAAAAGACTAAAAAAACTAAAAAGTTTCATGATCTTCTATCGCTGACGAAGGTTCATAAAAAAAGGCGCAAACATATAAAGTGGAAAAGGCCACACGCTTCAAACTGTGTCCATCAACGAAGAGCTACAAAATGCTCTGTTTTTCACTTCAAAAGACATACCTCTCAAGCATAACGAATATAGATAGAAAGACAAATGATACAAACTGAATGGAAGAGAGAAGCAACGCACTTGAGAGCGAGCTTCCGGTACGCGACTTTGATCTCCTGATCGGGCGAATCTCTCGACACGCAGAGAACCTCGTAGGGATCCCGACGTGCGGGCCGCGCCGAGGAACCTCCCATATTTCTCTCCGCCATCCTCCCCCTCTCTCCGCCAACCCAACAAAATCGGGGAGGAGCGCCGAACCCGAGGCGGCAGCTAATCGAACCGGAAATGGAGATCTCCTTGTTCGACTTGGACAACCTATGAGGCCAAGGAAGGAGGAGCAGTCCTCGGTGGAAGGAATCGATTCCCCCTCTAAACCTTTGGCTCCGACGACGACGACGGAATCGTACGAGTGGGGATCGGACGAAAGGGGTTATCGTATATAATTTGGAGCTGCGACGACGGAACACCGTCCCGTTATGCCGTTGAAGAAAGTGGACGATAAATTAGCGCTGTACGTGTGTGTTGTTACCAATTTAACCGACTTTGATTCCTTTCTTTTTTAACCAAAAACTTGTATATCGCTCCAAATTAGCGTTTATGTATGTGTATGTAAAACCCTACCCATATATCAATTAGCCATTAACATATAAATATCCTTAAATATTTTTATATATATATATTCTCTAAATTGGTAACGTCCGTATATATATCTATCCTTCTAAGTTTAATAAATAAATATTTAAATAATCATGATAAAATATATCTTAGATTTTTCATTCTTTTAATACTTTTAAATTTATTGTTAATTATGGTTTGTTGTGACTACCTGTATTTATTGGGTATATGCCATGTAAGAAATATTAAATTCTTACTTATATATATGCATATATATATAATGTCTAAATACTCCATAGTAGTTTTTGTAAAGGAATTAAAAAGAGAATATTTAATTAGAAATTTTTCATAAGCAAAAGGTGACGTGTTATCATTCTATAAAAAAAATTATATATACTCTTACTGATAAACTCATGATCTGACATTCGGATAATGTTTAAGACCATCAAAGATGTTATTCACATGCTGAAGTTAATCCACTTGGACTTTACTATGTAGTTATATTATTTTATGATAGGAATTAAGAGGAGGAGTATATCATATACGAATGATACATTATGAAAAGAAAAAGAAAAAAAAGAAGAGAAGATACATTAAAATATGACTTATTTCTCTCGATATATTTAAATTCTTATTTAATCCCCCAATGGAAAAAAAATTAAAAAATATATACTTGCCACGCCCTAAGCTCTATGTGAAGGCATTATCGTTAAAAGACATATGACTCTATAGAAACATGATGTGATCTTTTATTCACTTATGCACTTGTTTAATTTTTTAAATATGATGTTTTATATATGATTATTGATGTGATTATTATTTTCGATTACTTTAGGACTCGATAAAGAATCTCATAAGGACCTACTGAATATGTCATGTCACATCTATCGGGCACGTCATAGTAATAATATTTCTCTTAGTAAAATGACACACAAGAATAATATTATAAAATAACTTTCTCGTGTATATTTTTATTTTAAATTAATCAAATAAATATTTATAAGCTTTAAATGGATACTATTTGATTAATAAATTATCGTTATAATCTTTTATACAAACCAAAAGTAAAATATAGGATACGAGAATTTTCTATCTTCATTAAAAGTTCTACTAAAAAAAAAGAATCAAGTGGAATCAATTTTATTAAGTTAAATTAATAATCAAATTTAAAATGAAACTATATCTCCAAAATTCTTTGCAACAATCAACTAAGGGCCTTTACCTTTCCCTTCATAAGAATATCTAAATTAATCTTAGATCCTTAATATCAACAATGAGTCATACATAATCCTACTTTTTTTTTTTCAATCAAAAATTTGACTATAATGATACAGACCATCAACTCTCTTTTCTCATATTTCATACAGTTGGTAATAACACATTATCTAGTTTATTATAAATAAATAAAAAAGTAAAGGAGACCAATAATTCTAACTATGGTAAAGAACTCTAAGGCTAATCATGTCATAAGCCACTCATATTCTAATTCTCTATCCATTGGACATATGACAAAAGATTTCATTCTTCATGTTATCGATCGTTAACTACTCGATAAGACGAGGACAAATCCCTAAGTAACTAAATTATGAGGTTTAATAATGAGACTAAACAAGTAATCAATTTGCATTTGTATGTGATAATCTATGCATTCATCGATAATTTAAGAACATTATAATTTTTTTATCAATAACCAAAAGGCCTTTACTGATGTTTCTCCAAATACTCTAAAAGTCAAAACCACATATAGCAAAGTCTTAAGTCAACTACATATTTAAAACGATTGCTCTTCAAGTTGATCACAGTATTAAGATGACTGTTCTTAGAAGTCGATCATGTTCTTCAAGACAATCACTCCTTAGGTAGATCACATCATCAATATGACCTCTTCTTGAAGATGACTATTTCAACTTTGGTTGCATCTTCAAGCTACTTCAATACAATATCATCTTTCAATCATCCTTAAGATGACAACTAACTGTTTATCAGTTACACCTTATCTTCAAGGCTTGTTTAACTCCCAAAACACAAAAAAGCCTCAACCACCAAACCACGAGTGAATTTAGTCATACTGGCAATACCAATCAATGAGGGCATAGGATGCAACGTTGAGCTTTCAACGTAGGTCTTTCTCTTGACATGATAAGGTTGATTTTACTCTCTCAATCTTATTAACCTACTCAATCTTGGCATCCCTTTCATTTGTTTAAACAAAAAAATGGTCTTCCAATTGTTAAGACTTTTAACTCTTGATATCTTTATCATGTCTAAGGCCTCCTTATCACTATATCCTCCTTATCACTATATCTTAATACCATTTATATTAACATTATTGACACATGTATATAAATGACTTTTCTCCTTAATTAAGCATTCCTCAACATTCTCAATTGATTGACCTTAATAGAACGAGCACCCTTCCATCATTCACAAAAAAAATGACTTATTTAATATTGTACTAATTAACTTCATGTGTATAATATTAACACAAAAAGGGTTTCCTTATGTCTAGGTTGGATAATTTTGATCAACAATCCTAGGATGAGTCAATTTCATATAACCAACTCAATTTAAATCAATTTACCTGACCAAGTTAGGTTAAACCTAAATTCATATATTATTTCTTCAAATAAAAGATAAAAGACTTTTACACTTATGAAGATTTGAATTTATAACATTTTTTATCACGAGTGAGACTCTTAAACACTACTTCCTACTACAAAGCACAATATAACTATGTATAAGAGTTTATTACTTATAGCACTTGATGCATTAGCTTATGGAGACAAATATTCAAAGCACTAAACATAACCTAAGATATCCTCTTTATGTGTAATACATTTTCTTATGGTAGAAAAATATTCAAAATGTTTGATGTTACCCAAGATGTCTTATTTGCGTGTGGTTCGTTTATCCAAGATAAAAATATATCCGAAGAGTCAAAAAACATTTGAAAATATCTTATTTGCACACAATGTATTCACTTAGGATAAGAAAATATCTAAAGTGCTTGACTTATCGTAAAATATCTCATTTATATGTCATACATCTGTCTAAGACAAAGACGCATATGAAGCACCTAATACATCATAGGAAAACTATTTATGCATAATATATCCACTTTGGACAAGAAAAATAACTAAAGCATAACTTAGCTATTTATGAATGCATGTGGCAGTGATTAAGGTCTCCAACAAACATTATTTTCCGAGACTCTTACGTTAAAGCAAATGAAATGGTTATTATTTTCAGTCAATTGGGAAGTCCACATGGAATCTAATAAACTATTGGACACGATATATTATCTATAAAGATGATGAAAAATTTATTGTACATGCTATATAAGTAGAGCATCTAAAAAGATATATTCTTCCATTATAGCGAGAGTTATAATAATACTTTTTTTAGGTTTTTTTAATTTAAAACTGGCCAAACATATATTTACAAATGTGTACTAACTTAATTGTCTGGAGTTTTGCTAAACAATGTTCTAGCATAGTCTAAACAAGATGTGGGATATAAATATTTTTTACATTCAAAAAAAAATTTCCTTGTTCAAGTTCTAAATACTCAATGACTCCTCTCTTTCAAATGCGATAGTACCCAAATAGGCTAGATAAAATCATTTTCACCAAGTAAAATTGATGATCAAATTTGATCTTATTAGATTGTCGTATTATTTAGGATGCCTATCTTGATAAGATAAAACTATACGAGGCTCACTTAAAGTAGATAATTCCTCGTATGCTCACATATGAATATTAATGAAGACAAATGATGATTTATCATATGATAGTCATCATAAGATCCAAAAGACCTCTACTTCACTATTAGAGGGACTGATAAGAATGCTTGTGCTACAAATAATAGAGAAATCAAATATTTATAATATCAAAGTCTCATCCACACTTGATGTGGAAAAAATGGTATGGGGCCACACATACCAAACAAGACAAGCTTGTTTTCTCACACCAAACACAAATGATATTTGTGATTTATCAAATATGACATAGTATCTTCCATTGTTATTATTTCGGTTATACTTTATAATGCATGATAAGACTAAGTAAAATGAATACAAGTTTCTTGAATGACTAAGGGTTATATTGGGTAAAAGAAATAAGGTTAGACTAAAAGTCTATGCTCATACGGTGGACCTTCGCCACATTTTCGGACAAGCTTCCTTGCAGATAAATACATGTTATTGGGAACTTTATGAAAATATGGTCTGGTTTACTTCTAGTATCACTATATATCGCATTAAGGAAACGGTGAATAAGCTTTTGTTTTCAAATGTTCAGTTCCATCTTAACTGTGGTAGCATTTGACATTCATAATGAAACAAATTATTTTTAGAGCATAGAAATGCGAATGTTCTTGCTGATGTAAATACATGTTTCATACACAGTGAATATTGCTCATGCTTCATACAGTGTACTTATCTAGAATGCCATGGTACCTTTATAGCATATTGTGCATAGAGATTGTAAACCACCTAAAATGCATCACCTGAACCATAAAACTGTATTTAGTTGAGCAATCGATCATACTACTCTATCGCCTAAAAACAATTGATGGTAGCCACAAAGCAACGCCGTCACGCGACATCCTACGTAAATGATATCAAGATAGAATTCAAGCATAATCTAGCGTTGGCGTCCACAAGGTTTCCTTTTGTTCCCCCCATCTCCTTCCCTATTTCCCAGACGGGAAGCTTCCCGACTTCCCTCCCACGCCAAGTCCCCAACTCAAGGTCAAAGCTCAATTAGGGACGTTCTATGCGCACACCACGCTTCTCCTTCACTTGCTCACCCAACAAACCATCATACCAACGTGCTCTCGTGCCTCACGTCAACACACACACACCTGAGAACCACCAATCAACACCCGCCACTTCATCCAACTTCTTCACCCGATGGCGCGTTTGACCATGCTTTTATCATGCACAAGAAAAAGCGCACGCAAAAAGGACAAAGAACCAGAAGGTCGTGGGTCCCTTCATATCTCTTACTCTTACGGCGCCTTCTCCTCTCGTACCACCAACCCAACTCGCCACGGGCACGTATCACGCGACGCTCCACACGTTCCCTTCGGCCAGTCATCAGTGTGACCCGGATGAGGATCCCCTGACATAGTAGGAGCAGGAGCAGGAGCCAACCCTTTTCCCTCACAAGAAACCACTGTTGGCCCCACTGCTCCGGCGGTTCCCAGTGTCCCAAGTGGCTAGAAAGGGCTGTTTGCTGACTTCGTAGACACGGAGGAGCCTCAACCCCCCACCGAGCCCACGCCGATCACGTGCTGACTCAGCAACCCAATTCCGTTTCGCCACCTCACACACCGCCTCCGCCCCTAAAGTGCTCCGCCGTCTATTTAACCGCCTCTGCCTCGCCCACGGCGCCGCCTGCCTCCCTCGTCTCCCGACCTCCGTTTCGAAGAGAGGTTGTAACGGTTAGGGCTTTGATGGAGATCCCTCTGATGGCAGAGGCGTTGCCGATCCCCGGCCTCATCGCCCGCATCCTATCCGACCTCGCCGGCGCTTGGGCCTCTGTCGCCCTCCTCGTCGCCGGATTCGCCGCCTTCCTCCGCTTCCTCGGCCCGGCCAAGCTCGCCTTCCTCAGGTACAGAAGAGCCAGATCGGCCATCTCTCAACCCGTCTGCTACTGCTCCTCTAGCGAAGACGATGACGACGACGTCGTCGAATCTGAATCGCCGTCCGACGATGATGACGACGAAGATGAGGCCCCGTCGTCATCACCCGATGAGTACGACTCCGCATCCGGCGGTTATTGGGACGACCATGGACGGGATGGTGGTTTGGATCTGGCGTTAGGTGGCGTGGTCGTCAGGACGTGGGAGGGGCTCGGCCCGGGGTTCGATCGCTCCGACGGCCGTATCTCGCTCATGGACCTGGACCGCGGCGAGGAGCTGAGGTCGTTCCTCGCCCAGGCCCCGGTTGCGGCGGTGAGCCTGGCTTCGCCCGCGGTGGTTGTATCGGCCGCGGATGGCGCAAGGGCCGCGGCAGCGGTGAGGGTGTGGGACCCCAGGGTGGCGGGGGAGCGGACCCCGGCCGCCGCAGCCGAGTGGCGACCCATCCTGCGTCGGAGAGTCATGAAAGTCGCCGGCCGGGACGACAGGGTGTTTGTGGGCGGCGAAGACGGAGTGATAACGGCAGCAGACCTAAGAAGGGGCCGCTCGCCATCGGTGGTGCAGACGTGGCGTGAGAGTTCGTTGCCGCTTTTGCGCTCACCCAAATGAGCAAATGACGGACGAGCCCCTACCAGCCGTCTTCCGGAAGACCAAAACCCGTGTGCATTCGTCGGTTGCGGTGTTCCGAATTCGTATGGCATGGGCCTAATTATTAAGCTCAATTAACGATCAGGTCTAATCGCCGACGGATCGCTTTCTCGACTGTGTAGCTCTTAATTTATGGAGAATTATGATGCAGTTTTCATGGGAACAAATTATTCTTTGGTTAATTATAGATTATTTTATATAATTAGTTATCTTTAATATCGATCCCTACGTTTTAAAAGTTACAGGGATTTCTATATTTATTATATCGTATATATTATCACATATAAAAATAATAATAAAATAATATTTAACAATTAATTTTATAATTATTTTTACTTACATTAATTTTTCTTTGAGCAGGAGGCAAGAGTGCTTTACTTTCTAATAAAACAAAAGATGGAGCAATTGAATAATATTATCTCATTTCATTTTTCAATAAAATCTTTTTTTCTTGATTTTTATATAATATTCTAAAATTTATTTTTTTAATTTTATTTTAATATTATTTTTTACATGAATTATCACATATGAAATTTGAAAGGAAATAAGATTAAATATTTTACTTATATATGTATAAAGATTTTTAATATGATTTTTAAAAATATAAAGATCGAAATAATACCTAATTATAGGATGATATATAATTAATTCGATTAATAAAAAGAAAGCTTTTGTATCTTATAATAATGCCCTCGACCCGGTGGATATGTTCTTTCTTTTTTTTTCCTCTAAATGCGTTTACCTGCTGGTTCCACATTTGTACTCATTTAATTAATCTTGCGAACATTTGTAAGAGACCCGTTCTAATCATCTTGATTAGGTTGATCTGATTGAATTTATTATCGGTGGGACAGTTAATTAAAACAAAAGCGGTTTTATACTTTCAAGATGAGACCTAAAAGGAGGTTTTAGGAGAGTCATGTTTGTTTAAAAGACTGATTCGTATGTTTTGAAATTTATGCATCAATTTTAGATTTTGGACATATTAAACATATCAAGAAAAAGAAATAAAAGAGTTTCGGACACTTTGCTTTTACTGTTCCTTCTTTACCAATTTTTTCTTCCGCTCTTATTATGAACAAAAGCTAAGCATAAATTAGAGGAGAAGGGACGATGTGGTGATGCAGGTGCCCCTCCGACTTTTCCTTTAGGAACTGCTCCACCGCCGCGGCGCCGGGCCCCGCCACGTCCCTCTCCCACGCCGCCTCAGCCTCCGCTGCCTCCCTGGCCAGTCGCGCAGCCACCACCGCGGTGGCGTCCAGCCTCCGCAGCGGCCATCCCATCTGCTTCAGCCGCTCGATCTTCCACACCTGCTCCTCCGCCAGCCGCCGCGTGTTCGCCTTGATGGCCACCACTGCAGCCTCATACGCTGGCGCCGTCCCCCGCCCCTCTCCCAGGAAGTACTCCTGGAACTCCGCCAACCCGATCGCCTTTGCCAGCCCCGGGTGCCTCAACTTCCCCGCTTCCTCATCCGCCTCGAAATACCGGCCCAACTCCTCCACCATCCCCGCCGCCACCATCTCCTCCACCCGCCGATCAAGTTGCTCCGCCAGCGTCGCAGCCTCCACGTCCACCCAAAGGAAGCAGCACCGATACCGCAGCCTCCCTTCCCTCCTCCTCCCCGCCTTCCAGCCACCGGCAAATGGGCTCCGCCCGGGGTCGTAGCTGCCGGCCATGGCGGCGTATATGAAGGAGTTGGACCCACCGGCCACCACCGGCAATCGGCCTCGGCCGGCTATCCCGGAGATTGCGCGGGCCACCATTTCCCGGAACGCCGCCGGCGGGAGCTCTCCCGCGGCTGGGTCGAGATCCCCCAGCAAATGGTGCGGCACGCCGCAGCGATCCGCGACCGGCATCTTGTTGGTGGTGATGTCGAGTCCCCGGTACACCTGAATCTTATCCGAGTTCACCACCTCCCCGGAGAACTCGGTTGCCAGGTCGATCGACAGCTTCGACTTCCCCGTCCCCGTGGCGCCCATGACCACCACCACGCTCTCCTTCCTTCCGGCATCATTGTCCTCAACACAATAATCTTCGGAAGAGTAACACCTCCGGCACATGTCCCGCTGCCAATGGCAGCTTCGCTTCGGCACCGTTGCGACCGTCGCGGGTCCGAGGCGCACCGAAGCCGGGCGATGGAGGTGTTGGAGTAGAGCTGCGTTGCCCCCTCTGGTGAGTAGAACTCTCATATAGCCCAACAAATAAGCACTTGGCCAAACCCACCAATCTGTGTCGCAAAGAGGTTCAACAAATGGAAGGCGGGCGAGAGCAGTGGCATAACACGAGTCTCAGGTGAGGGTGTTCAGTGTTCTCCTTCAGAGTTGACACACAAAAGGGGAGGAAAAGAAAGGTCGGGGGATGGCAATGACATTAATTAGGTGGCCGAGCCTTCTCTCAACTCATGCTGTTCTTTGTTGTTGGCTTGACCCTGTGCTGTCTCTCCCTCTCCCTATATATGAGAGGTTGATGGAGCCTCCTTGCGAAAACCAGTAACCACCATGCTTATTTTAATTAGCTTCATCATTTCGATTGCCATGCCGGACAAGTGTCAGTGCCTGTGTTCTGCCCTCTTGCACTTCCATTCGCTTCGCGTTCTCTCCCTCCTACAGGTCAGTTCCCAATGCATTGCAGTAAAATAATGTACACGACTGGGAATGGAGAGGGAATGAGAAGAGGCGAGCAGAGTGTGGTACGCTGCTTGCTACCTGGGCAGTTCCTTGTAGTACTTCATATTATTACCCTATGGAAGTCACTGGGTGGGGATCGAATGGGGAAGAGTGAGGGACCATGCCAATAGCATTGGGATCAGACACTGCATAAGAGGCTGTCTGTCCCTGTTGGGGGAAGGGTGGTGGGGGCAACCAATGGCCTGCTTGGGTTGAACCAGACCAGAGCAGGGCACTGATGCTGGCCACTTGAGCCCCATTTGGTCATAGGGAAGCCTTCTGCTTGTGCCACATAGTAATAGTTGTTTAATGATTTGCAGCGGGAGAGCACTCATGGTGTGCTCTTGGGAGGGGAAGAAGCCATCTCCGTGCCTCGGTTGGGGTACACATGGGGGGTGTGGGGTGACCTAAACTACACTTCCCATTATTGTGTTGAACAAGCATGCTCAGGAACATGGATGTGGCTGTCTAGTTTGAACCAGATTCTAAAGAACCGAATTATAACCTCAACAACAACTCCTTACAAACTTCATCTCCTGAGATGAAGATGGTTCCATGCACCCATGGCGAGTTTGATAATGGACTGGCTTTGAGGACATTACAGCACTGCATTGTCCCATTCTCGTTCCTTTTCAGGATCTGATAAAGAAGGTGATGGAGACGAGGGGCTTAGAGACGTCATCGGCATTGGTTTCAGCTTCCTCTTTGAGCAGGATGAAAGAAATGCAGTGGAGACCTCAACAAAGTGGCCCCTCTCTGTCACCGACCTTGAATCAAATTGGTGCAGATGGCAAGCCTCAAAGGTGTTTGATTCTTTTGAGATGGTGCCAATCCCGGCCGGTTGTCTCTCCATGGTGCTGCCTCTCAGGTACATGAAAAGCACCCACTACATCCACGAGCATGTTTTTGTCTATTGAAGTCTGAAATGAACATTTTGGTGTCATCAACTGTAGGGGAATTATGTGGAAGACATGATTTTAAATGGATTAGGTGGATGAAGCCAATTGTCTCTTCTAACAAAGATGCTAATCCTGCCAGTAATGGATGCTAGTTTGCCACAAAGTGTTAATTATCTTCTCCTCATCTTTTTTCCTTTAGATCTTTCTAGATGTATTTGTTTTTTTGTTGCTTAATGATATTATATAATGCTAACCATCCACTTATCTTAAAAAAAGATTAATAATCATTTTTATTTTTCAATAGAACAGTAGAACAGTAAGATGTTAGTAAACAAAACAGATGCAGGAACATGTGTGATAAGACACTTCTGATGTATCAATAAAATTCATTGAATCCATGGATTTATTATTGGAATGTCTAGTGTGAATTAAATTTTACAATTTCACGATCTCTATGTACTTGACACTTCTATTTTCATTACTGATCTTCTCATAACAAGTGCAAGCTTCTTTTAGTGACAAAAAGTTAGAGTAAAATAAACAGTCATAATTTTTGAAATTGAAAAACATATAAATATTGGCACTTTATATTGTCACTTCAAACTATTTTTGGGTGACATAAGATGGATCTTATATTTTTGGTAGGAGATGAGAAGTCTTAGTTTGCTTCTTCATGATCCATGGCTAAGTTCAAGCTTTATGTAGTAGGACACACCACATAAGTGTAAGGCTCAATTCTACATGCCAAACAACCTCATTTTTGTTTGATTGCGTCCGTTGTTGTATGGCATGTCACGCCAATGTACATGTTTGATGGTGACTTCTACAATATTAGCTTAAGTTAAATGCTTAAAATCTCTTAATAATTTAATATCAATGTACATGCTTAAGTTAAATGTGCATAGTGTGCATGTTTGATGGTGATCAACTTCTAAAAGATTGGCTTAATTAAATGCTTAAGTTCTCTGCATATTGATATCAATGAAATCACTCCACTAGAAATCATGTTAGGCATATCACAACACAGCTGTTATAGTGCTCTATACTGAGATGTAAAGGCAACGAGCTTCTACATTTTCCCAAGCCAACAAATAAAATATACGGAAAAGATATGGATGAACTTAACAAACAACATGTTCTACATAAGGAAACAAACATTAGGCATAAAGAGAAAGATAAGTGAACCATCTCTGTTGTTCCAAGGATGTGATAACCTACTCCATTGGATCATAGGTTCAGACTTCAACATGAAGTCAATGTGGTCTTAGAGAAAGCTATATTAGCCCGCAGTTTTGTGATGCATGCATGTAAACTTAGAAAAGCATTACCTTTCTGTATTAACAATGTCAACAGAGTTTTCTTCCTTGATCACAAATTTGAAAGAGATGCATTATATAGTACCAGTGTTCTTCACCCTACTACGAGTACTTATTTCTTAGCGTTTGGTTGGCAAGCAGTCAATTGCATGTACATGCAATTTTCTTAAAGAAAACATGGTATGTTCGGAGAACAGAGTTCAGAGAAAGGTTTGTCATTGCTAAGGTTTCAAGTAGGGTTACATTTCTGTTGCTATTATGTGACGTTTCTTTCTTTCTTTGTGTTTACGTTAGTTGGAATATGCTAAAGTATGACAATGATATATAGCGACATAGCTTACTTCTCCTGCTTCAGAACTCATCTTGTTGCATGTAGTTACCATGAGAGATAAAAGAAAGAGTGAGATAAAGCTAGTCTAACAGGCATAAGGGCATGAGTGTAGATCATAATTACTGTAGTTTTAGCTCACCAAGAGAAGAGCCAATGAAGAATGAAGCGGTTCAAAGAAGGAAGAGAAGTCAGACTTGCATAAGGTAACATAAACTTGTACCTTCTTCAAGACATTCATATTATTCTACTTCACTTGATGAGAAAGTAGCTCTTCTTTAACTAAAGCTTGGACCACCACCATGAGACTAACCATGCATGCTTGTGTTTTATGAGCTGTGGAGGTCTTCACTATTGTGCTTCTCAAACATTTAGAAATAGCTAAACAGTGGGCTATATATATATATATATATATATATATATATATATATATATATATATATATATATATATATATATATATATATATATGGGGATTGAAGTGATCTCTGTTTTTGTTTCTAAAAGCATCAACAACTGAACAGAAACAATTCAAGAGAGAGGTCAGAAGACCTCCAACCCAACTTGAAGCAGTTGTTGCAGAAGCTTTGTACCTTATAATAAGAATGTGTGTAGCGAAGAATCCAGAGGTTTAGCTGATGTCCAATGGTCTTATTGCACTAACTAAATCATTAGCTTTGTTGAATCTTACACTCTGACCTAAGTCTCATGTACTTGACTATATCTCCACATTATGCTGAAACAATTCCATTGCAGATGGACAGAAGAGGGTTAAAGAAATGGCTTGACAGCTACCGATATTGCTGCAGACAAGAAGCATCTCTTCGTTAGAAGTCATGGCTTAGATTCTAATGGCTTTTGTGCAACCAAAACTTCTGATGTGTTTCGTCGGATTAGAACCGGTTTCTATATTGTGTTACTGAAAAGGATGGCAGATGAGTGTATCATTATGATAAGTAGATATTTTACATTTGATGATTAATGAATGATCATATGCAGTGATGAGATGCTGCTTTCAGTCTAACTTTATTATAGTGTTAACATTCATTTGAGCTGAGGTCATGAATCACTTAAATCCTTATAGTTTACTCATATCTAAAATAACATTTACATTTTAAAAATTATAGCGTTCATTCTGTTAACAGACGTTAGAGTTTACTTATATGGTATGTTAATCCACAATAAATCATTAATATAATAATATATATAATTTAAATTTTTAAAAAAATTAAGATCTATTTTAGCCCTTATGATTTTAGTCTTGAATCACTTAAGTCCTTATGATTTATTCGTGTTTAAAATAATTTATATATTTTAAAAAATATAGCATATAAATCTTTCTTATCAAGTCTGAGTTAATAGACGTTAGAGTTTGTTTACATGACATACTGACTCATAATAAATCATTTATATAATGACACGTGTAATTTAAGTATAAAAAAAAATTGAGACCACCATCAATGATAGGAGGAGACGTCATCGTGAAAATGACCATCAATAGTAGCATCGAGCCACTATTGTCTAGTAAGGCATTGTACACACGTAGTCTCTCCCATGCTAACGACGGCTTCCAATCTTGCCTCAAGTGGATGTGTATCGACTGGTCTGACGCTAAGCACGTAATGGTCTCCTAATCCCTCTTCCTCCTCCTAGACATCTTTATCCTCATCGCCTCCCACTCCGTCTTCTCCTATGCCTCTACTAGTCACGCCTACGACATGATAGTGCAACTTTCTCTCACCTCTACCTCTAACCTCTCCTCTGTCTCTTCATCTTAGACTTTAACTCTTTTTTTAAACTTAAATTATATGTGTTATTATATTAATGGTTTATTGTGAGCCAACTTATAATCTATTTAAACGTCTGTTAACTCAAACTTGATGGGAGGAGCTTATATGCTATATTTTCTAAAATGTAGAGGCTATTTTAGACACGAATAAATCATAAGAGCTTAAGTGGTCTATGACCAAAATCAGAAGGGTTAAAATATATTTTAATCTCTTTTTAAACTTAAATTATACTTATCATTATATTAATAATTTATGTCATAACTTTAACGTTTATTAACTTAAATTTGACGGGATGAGCTTATATACTATATTTTTTAAAAATATAAAAATTATTTTAGATACGAATAAATCATAAAAATTAAATTGATCCAAAGACTAAAATTAACCTTAAGTCTTTATTATATTTCATATCTATGCAGAAAGGAGAACAGTTCTGCAACTCCACATAACACTTGCAACTTGCTCATCTAAATGTTAGCACAATGGTTGTCTAATGAAATAATCCATTGTTTCACATGACAGCCCTCTCTCCTTCTCACTTGTTTATTTGATCTCCTCTCTCACATGATAACCAACTCTAAACGACTAAAAGGTTTTGCATTAGTTTAGAGAAAGGCACGCACCTAATTCTCAATAAGATCATATTGGCGAGTCCTTCACTTATCATGTTGAACTAAAACATGTATATAGATTTTTTAACTCTAAATCTTATCTTTTACGCAAACAATCATATTATCTTTTACGCAACCAATGCTTTTCTTATGCTCATCTTTTTATAAGAGGGCGATGTTAAGAAGTGCACAGTAAACAAAGGCATATGCCATCAGATACAAGATTAATTACATATTATATTTTATAATTAGTTATCTTTAGTATAATGATCCTTATATTTTTAAAAATTATATTAGAATCTTTATATTTATAAAAGTAAAATATTTAACTTTGTTTCTCCTTACATCATCGACTCTGTTAATAAAAATATCATAGGATTTATCTTTAATATATCAATTCTATCTCATTTTGATTTATCATTGAGCACGTATAATATTTCTATCAGTAAAATCAATGGTATAAGGAGAAAACAAGATTAAATATTTTATTTTTATAAATATAAATATTTTAATATAATTTTTAAAAATATAAAAATTAAAATATGATGATTAATTATAACAAATAATCTATAATTAATCGTAGATCACGAGACATGTTATAGCCGATCAATAGTAGTTTTCTTGGGAAGTACGGAGGAAATAAAAACGTCACATTGTACACAGTGGGCTGATGCGTTGCATTTGTCTTTTTAACATGCCTGCATGTGTTCTGCAATATTAGTCACGTACTTTGTACGTATTCATTGCGTGCTCTGCGAAGTCCAGATGCCGAGGAGGAGGAGATGTGGCCGAATCATTGTTCATAGTGAAGCTAAGCTTTTGCTTCCGAGAAGCTGCGGCTCTTATGATTCCAAAGTTTGGATTGCTTGTCCATGGAGTAAGGGCGAAGGAAGAGAAAAGAGAGAGAGAGAGAGAGAGAGAGAGAGAGGAGAGAGAATAAGAGCACCAATTGAAACTGATTGCGTGGGCCTAAAACCACGCAACATTGAGAACGGAGTGTACATTGAGCACCGTGTGTTATTATTTACTGACTCACGTGCTTTACATGTACTCATTAACTCGTTGGCGACTCGTTTCACTTGTTTATTTGACGAGTTTGTACCGAGGGAGAGTCTATTCTCGAGTGAAGTGAGTCCACAATGGGTTTTGTAGCATGTTTCTTGGGTGTAAATTATAAGTGCAATTCTTAGTTTTGCATGGTCAAGTTCCGCGTAGAAAACTATTGATCTAAGCCCACAGAAGATTAGGAATTATAGGCAAGAAAGATAATACTCATGGATTGAAAGATTAGTGTGTTAGGTAGATAGCCCATTATTCAGCCCACTTTAGTCTTATTCTTTTTTATTTTTAATTTAATTTTTTTTCTTTTAACCTCTGACGATTAAGACAAAAAAAAAAAAAAACAATTGAGGACAGAAAAAAAAAAGATGAGTATAATACAAAGGTTATTCTTAATCATCCACATAGTATTCTCGGCTAGATCAAATTTGTAATGGATTATTATTATGATCACTTGGGGTTATTTTAGATATTGTGCATAGTAACATAATCCTTGTATCCCTGTTATTCTCTTGTGATTGTTGCTTGGGTTTTGGACAAAAGACTTTGATTATACGTTCATTATTTTTATAGTAGATTTTCCTTAGCTTACCCTATGATTTTTACCCTTCGTATTGGAGAGGTTTTTATGTAAATCTTGGTGTCTTATTTGATTGTGATTTTTGTTTAATTTCATTACGTGTTACGACCTGGTGTTACGACTTGCTAGTATTTATTCATATACTAAGTTCTTTTTTTATCCTAATAATTGGTGTCAGAGTAAGGTTTTGATGATTTAATTTTTGTGTTCGAACAAGGAGGCCAATAGTATTTCTCGCATGATTAACTTGAATGGAAATAATTAGATGATATAGAAACTAAAAATGAAAAATCTCTTATATTATAATGATTTATATAGACCTTTGCAAGGGGATAATGCAAAGCTCGTAACTATGATAGATGATGAGTGAAAGAGATTAGATCAAAAAATAATCAGGTTTATTCGATAGTGACTTGATGATAGTGTCTTTCACCATACTTCTACTGAAAGTTTTATGTATTCTCTTTGGAAATAGTTAGAAGGTCTCTATAAAAAAAATAATTAGCAACTAAGCTTTTTTTATTAAAAAACTTATGAACCTGAAATATAAAGACAGCACTTCTGTTATTGAGCATTTGAATGAAATGCAAAGTATTACTAACTAGTTATTCTCTATAAAAATATCTCTTGATAATGAGTTGTAGGCGTTGTTACTTCTCAGTTCATTGTTAAAAAGTTGGGAGACACTAGTGGTTTTCCTTAGTAATTCTACACCAAATGGTGTTGTCTCTATGAGTCAAGTTAAGTAACAAATAATTTCTTGAATAAGGAGTTGAGAAGAAGGAATCTAGTAATATCTTATATTGATTCACATGCACTTATCTCATAGAACAAAGGAAAGTCAAAGTCTAAAGATAAAAGTAGTTTATGCATGGGTAGAAGCAAGTCAAGATTAAGAAAAGATATTGTTTGCTACAATTGTGGTGAGAAAGGATATTATAAGAATCAATACAAGTAACGTAAGAAGAGCAAGGAAAAGATAAAAGAAGTAGAGTCTATAAAGTAAAAAAAAAATACCACAACTATAGTATAAGGTGATGACTATTTGATTTTATCTACTTCTAATGATATTTTTTCTTGTGTGTGTTAGGATCTCGAGTAGGTGATTGACACAAGTATTTCTTATCATGTTATATCATGGAGGGAGTTCTTTACTACCTGTAGGTCTAGAAATTTTGGTGTTATAAAGATGGGCAACTATGACACGACAAACATCATCAGCATGAGTGATATCTACATAAAGACTAACCTTGACTATAAGTTGGTGCTTACGGATGTGAGACATGTGATTAACTTGAGATTGAATTTAATTTTAGTTGGAAGGCTAGATGATAAAGACTTTGATAGCATATTTTACATAGGGCAATAGAAATTCAGAAAGGGTTCTCTTATGGTAGTTAGTAGGAAGAAATATCACACTTTATATAGATTGCAAACTAAAGCTTATGGTGAGCAATTGAATGCTATGGAAAAAGACTTCAGCATGGAGTTGTGGCATAGGCGATTGAGACACATGAGCAAGAAGCATGGAGTTGTGGCATAGGCGATTGAGACACATGAGCAAGAAGGGACTGTATGTTCTTTCAAAGAGAAAGGTATTACCCAAACCTCAAAGGTACATGTATGAACAATTATATTGATTGTTTGGCTGGTAAATAATACATAGTTTTCTTTGCTAGTCTTATTTTTGCTAGTTATAAGTGTCTTACAAGTCAATCACATGAGTGATGA